GAAAGCTGATTTTCTTTTTGCCAGAAACTATCAGTTGCAAATATCTTTTTGGAAAGGCTGGGACTCTGTGTCCACTTCTCCCTCTTAGTGCTGGGTCACCAAATGGCTTGAACCTGTACATGTCTTGTGTGGGCTGCCATAGTGTTTGTGAGTTTATATGTGCATCAGTCCTGTTGTGTCTAGAAGTTTCCTTGGAATCCTCCATCACCTGTGGCTCTTAGACTCTTCCCACCCCTCTTCTGCATAGTTCACTGAGTTGGAGCAGTGGGATTGATGAAGATATCTCATTTATGTCTCAGTGCTCCAAAGTGTCTGTCGCTTCATGTCCATTGACCAATTGTGGGTCTGTGTTAATTCCCATCTACTGCAAGAAGCAGCTTCTTGAATGAGGGATGAATGAGGCGCTGAAATGGGTATGGCAGAATGTCATCAGGAATCACTTTATTGCCATGTTCCTTTATCAGAATAGTAGTACTAGGTTTTACCCTAGGCCCATGATCTATTTAGACTCAGGTTTTTGGCCGCTTTCACAGTGTCAGGTATGGATGTCTCAAGGGGTGGGCCTTAAATCCAATAAAAAAGTGTTTGGTTACTCCCATAACACCTGTGCCACTAACTCCCATAATATTGCCCCAGTATATCTTGCAGGCAGGTCCCGTTGTAGGTTGCAGGGTTGGTAGCTGGGTGATACTGATTGCCTTCCTCCCCTGGTGGCATGCAGAGTGCCTGCCAGCACCATGGATGCTAGTCAGTAGGAGGGAAACTTCTATGGGGCACTAGACAGACTTCTCCATTTTCAGTGACATAAGTGTTATCTTCATCAACAGGGCCTTACCATAAGGTTATAGAGAACAATAAATTCATTGGCAATAATCTGTGATATTTTGAGGTGGGGGGAAGTTCATGAGACCCTTTTTCCCAACGACTCAACAATGACACTGGAGGTTTTACATAAGATGTATAAGATGTCTGGTTGGGACATTGTATCTCCTCTTATATGGTGACTGTTTAGTTCCTTTCACGGTTAATTGTCCCACTCCACAGTCCCTCCTTTACTCTGCTCCCCCTTCCTTCTCCTCCTTTAGTCCTCCTATTCTAGTTTCCCTTTATTTCTCCTTCCTTGGGAGCTCTTTTCCCTGTACCCCTTGGTCCCTCACTAGGTCCCTAGTTATTCACATTGAGGTATACATATCAAAAGCCTAAAAGTTAATACTGTGTGAAGGTTTTTTTTCCACTTCATTGAGACTTGACATTATTGGAACTGTTTTGTTTTTAACTTTTTATAATTGTTACAATTGACCTTTGGCATCCCTACCCCTTATCTTTAGACTGCCATCTTGAGGGCTTTAATGTTGGTTGAGCTTTTGTTTTCTGAAGCACATACAGACTGTTGGTTAAAACCAATTCATTTTATTTTGTACATATTTCTGAGCATATGTTCCTTTCTGCTTTTTCTCTCTGTCACAGGATATGCTCGTGGCTTCTGTTGTTTTCTCCCTAAAGGATAAGTCAATTTGGATCTTAGTTTTGTCTCAGTGTGTGTGTGGACATTTTAGATAGGTGCTCTCAAGTTTTGTCTAGGTGTCTTTTACAGGACTTCAGACGTACAGGCTATTTAGTTGGATTGTGCCCCTACCTGCTCCTCCCCCTCATCAGCATCTGCAAAGGGTGTTGTGAAGAGGCTGTGTGACCTCTGGCTCCTATGAATACTTGTTCTGTTGGGACCAGTATCCTCTGTTTTCCCCGTGCCACCCAGCACCTCCCATGTCCACTGTTTCATGGCATATACCTTTCAAGGAACACTAGAGATGGTCCTTGAGACTCTCACCACCCACATCTCAGGATTAGAGCTTGAAAGGCCAAGTGCTTTGTTTGCCTGGTTTCTTCATTTCAACTCCGTGGAAATTTGGATGCTTTCCCCCTAAGATCATGACTAAGGGCAGAAAGCCTGTTCTTGCCCTTTCTGTTTCTTATTCTTCTGGAGGTACTAGCAAGTACATACAATGAACATAGAAATGAGAGGCTTTGGGATTGGAGAGGAAGAAGCAACCTGGCTTTTGTGCTCAGCCAACAACATGCTGTCATCTCTCCTGCAAAACAAAGTGCTACTAAGTATAGGTTTAGCAGGGCCAGAGAGTGCAGGATCAACATTTAAAGTCAGTCTACTCAAGTCACAGAGATGCCCTACTTAAACTCTGTGGGACACTGAACAAAACTAGAAATTATGTGAAAGAAGTTTTTTTTTTAACTGAAAATATTTTTCATATAATATATTCTGATCAGTTTCCCCTTTCCTCCCAGACCCCCCCCCACTTCATACCCATCCAACTCCACATCTTCTTTCTCTTTGGAAAAAAAGGACAAATAAAACAAGCCAGAATTTAAAACAAAACAAAACAAAAATGTACAATAAACATATACTGTCTCTCTCTCCATGAAAGCACAAAATCAGAAACTATAACATACAAGCAAAAGATGCAGCTACCACACAGTGGGAGACCAAGTCAAAAGCAGGATTCAAGTCTTAGAAAACCTCACAAGGCAGCAGTGCCACAGAGAAAGACCCACTGAGCATAGGTATAGGTGTGGAGGGTGCTGCCGTGTGTGTGTGTCTGTGTACACACACACATATACATACATACACACACGCACACACACATGTATGCTGAAGAAAGCACTAAAGGGGTATGGAAAGGTGATACCATGTTATGTGTCTGTACACACATATGCGAAGACGTGCGCGCGCGTGCGCATGCAAGCACGCGCGCGCGCGCGCGCACACACACACACACACACACACACACACGCACGCACGCACGCACACACGCACACACACACACTGAAGAAGGCACTAAATGTATAGAACAAATTTCATAGAGATGAGCAGGGTACAGGTGTGGAGGGCTGACGCCAGGCTGAAGAAGGTAGTAAATGTACAGAACAAATGAAATGCATTAAAAGCTGCAAGAGAAACACCAAGTCACATACAAAGACAGAACTCTCAGAAAGAAAACATCCGACTTGAAGGCAAGGTAGAAGAATTAATACATTCAATCAAGGACAACAATAAAAGTTTTAGAAGTACAAATGAACATGCAAGAAGATTATATGGGATACAATGAAAACACCAAATTCACAAATTACGGGCATAAAAGAACTCCATACTCAGGTCATAAAAGCATTTTCAATGCAATCATAGCAGAACATTTCTTAAATTTTCTGGGGGGAAAGAAAGGCCTATCCAAGTACACAAGACACAACATACCACATACATACAACCAGAAAAGGAGCTCCCAGGTCATAGACTTCATACACTAAAGAGGGCCAGCAAGATGGCTTCTCATGGAAAAGCATGATGATAAGCTTGAGTTTGATCCCTGGGGCACCTGTGGTAGAAGAGGGAACCTAGCCTGCAAATTGTTCACTGGCCTCCACACAACACCCTGACATGTAATTGTCCATGTGCTTGTACACTCACAGGCACACAAACTTAGTTTAAAAACCACTCAATGTACAGGAAAAGGTATATTGGAGGTTACAAGAGAAACAGTGAGTCATATATAAAGATGACTCATCAGAATAACATCTGATTTCACAGTGGAAACTTTAAAAGCCAGAAGGGCAGTGAAAGATATATTTCAAGTTCTGAAAGACCACAGCTACTGACCCAGATTACTATACCCAGAAAAACTGTTGAAAATTATATAGAAAATAATTTCATGATAAAGCAGGCTGAAGGAATTTGTAACTACTAAGCCAGCTCTGCAGAGCATACTGGAAGAAATTCTTTACTTGAAGGGAATGATAGCCACATCGAAGAGACTCTGAGGGCAGAGAACTATTCTAAAACATTAATTAAACAAATGAGGATTATGAAAACATGAAATACTACAGAATCAGCCAAGTGACCACATCAGTATATGTTTTTCCTTAATAATTTTGGATATTAATAGTCCTAAAATTTCCTAATTCAAAGATACTATCAGATTGGCTTAAGAAATGAGATGTGTCTATTTAATACCTTCAAGAAACACACATGTCATTATTAAAGATAGCTACTAACCTAGAGAGAGTGATGGGAAAAGGTGCTCCAAACTTACAAAAATAGGAAACAGCACATATCAATATCACTATTCCAACATTTGACGAAGACACCCATTCAAAACTAGTTGGAAGAGATGAAGAAACTCACTTTATACTGGCAGAGGGACAGTTCATCATGAAGATGTTATTACAGTTTAATATATATCCACTGAACACAGGTGCACACAATTCCACAAAGCAAATACTATATGAAGTTATAGATTAACCCCAACATATTAGTATGAGGTGGCTTCAATACCTCACTGTTAATAATATACTGGCCATCTGGATATCAACAGAGAAACACCAGAGTTAAATGATATCATAGATCAAATCAACTTAACAGACACCTATAGAATTTCCACCCAAGCACTACAGAAGAATAATGTTGTCACCAGTCTATGGAACACCCTCTAAAACAGGCCATATATTTGGAGACAAATGAAGTCTCAATAAACACAGGGAAAGTGACATAACTTCCTGTATTCTATCTGAACACAGTAGAAAAGCTAGAAGTCAACAGCAATAGAAGCTACAGAAAACTCACAAGTGTACACTATTGAATAGTGATAACGTCACTGGAGAGATCAAGAGGGAAATTAAAAAATTCCTAGAATTGAGTGAAAATGAAGATACAATACCTCAAAACCCGTGAATACAATGAAGCCTTAAGAGGGAAGTGGTAATTCTAATTGTCTACATTAAGAAATCAGAGACATCTCAAACAAGGAAACGATGTACTTTCTACCTTGGGGGAGGATGAACAAGACAAGCTGCAATGCTAGATATAAACAGTTAAGATCAGGAGGAGTAAGTAAAGTAGAAATTAAAAAAATAAAAAGAAACATACAAAGAATAAATGCAACAAAGAGCTGGTTCTTTGAAAAGATAAAAAAGATCAACAAACCCTTAGCCAAACTAACTAAAAGAATGAGAGTCGAGTCCCAAAACAATAAAGATACAGATGAAAGTAACTTTTGGTTAAAAAAGATACCAAAGAAATTCAAAATAGGAGAGTGTAAAAGAAATGAATTTCTAGACACATATTACCTAATAAAGTTAAACCAAAATGAGATAAGTAATTTGAACAGATTTATCACAAATAACAAGATTGAAGCAGTAATTAAAAACTTGTCAACTGAGAGAGCGGGACATCTGTTTTTGGGTCGCAACAATTGTGGTGTTGATCACCCAGGAGTGAATTAAAAATGGGCAATGTTGAGAAAGACAAAAAGATTCTTGTTCAGAAGTGTGCCCAGTGCCTTACCGTGGAAAAGGGAGGCAACCACAAGCCTGGACCAAATCTCCATGGTGTGTTTGGGAGGAAGACAGGGGAGGATTCTCCTATACAGATGGGAGAGGACACCCTGATGGAGCATTTGGAGAATCCCAAAAAGTACATCCCTGGAACGAAAATGAGCTTTGCTGGAATTAAGAAAGAAGAGAGGGTGGACCTAATAGCTTATCTTAAAAAGGCTACAAATGTGTAATTCTGCTGCCTTATAATAAACAAAACAAAAGTCTCTTGACTTTTAATGTACATAATTTAATTCATACACCAAAAATTGAGATCATGAATGGCTAACAATGTTTTTTTGCTCAGTCCTGATTTAAGTAAAACTGACTTGTAATAAAGTGGATATGATCTTTTTTAAAATAACAGTTCCAGTTGCATAAATACTATCACTGCTCTCCCTATCTCAAAATAGGATTGGACTTATTTATTATTAAGGTTCTACTCTTCACACAGATGGGGGTGTTACTTCAAATCTATGGAATGATTTTATACTTAAATTTATGTAGCTGGGCATATAAGTATGTTTAAACAGTGGGAAAATTCTGTCGCTGTCTCAGAAATGAGAAGACTCACCTGTGTTTCAGTTTGTGTTCACTGGTCCAGATGGCTAAACATCGGGAAGTAACTGTCTATTCTTGACTTGATGATGTCATTTTAATTAGAATCCCCCAAGTCAAAGGGTGCTGCCTTTTAGCACTTACTGTAATCTATGTATCATATCAAATAAAGAGTATAGTTGATTTATTAAGTTAGAATGCTTTTAGAAACCAGCAACTTAGACCTTACTTTTTAATTCTTAATGATCTAAGATTGAGTTGTAATTGTCCTTAAAAGCTCATTCAGAAACACACAAAACTGGAACTTACGTGTATGTGTGATTGGTAGTGGCACTCTTTGCCAACTTATTAGATGGAAAGATTAAAATAAAGGAGATAGTTTGTAAGTTATCAAAAAATAAAAATAAAAAAACTTCAGCTAAAAAGAAAAAAGAAAAGCTCAATCCCGGATGAGTTCACTGCAAAATTCTACTAGGTCTTTAAAGTAGAACTAAGGCGAACCTTTTCAAATTATTTCATAAAATAAAAAATGCTTCCAAACTCATTTATGGAGCTACTGTGTAACACATTTCAACACAATAAAGGCTATATATGACAAACCTGTGGTGATATTTTGCTTATGATGTAACAAGTAAAGCTTGCCTGAAGATCAGAGTGGAAAGCTAGCCATACTAGTTAGCCATAGAGGCCAGGCAGTGATAATATGTGCCTTTAATACCAGCATTTGGGAGAAAGAGGCAGATGGAGCCCTTGTTAGTTCAAAGCCACCCTAGGCTACACGAAATTGATCCAGTCTAAAAGAAAAACAGCTCACACAAAGGTGATCTCAGCACTTGGGATCCCACGCCTTTAATCCCAGCACTAGAGAGGAATATAAGGCAGGAGGAGACAGGAGCTCATTGGTGTTTGAGCAGCCATGCAGTCGGGAGCAGTCTGAGATTCCATAGATTCCCTCTTTGGTTTGAGCATTGGTAGAGGTGAGAACTTTCTAGTGGCTGGCTGCTTTGCTTCTCTGATCTTCAGCTTTGACCCCAATATGTATCTCTGGGATTTTATTATTAATACCAATTAGAATTTGTGCTAAACAATCCTACAGCCAACATCATACTAAATGGAGAAAAACTTGGAACATTTCCACTAAAACAAGGATTCCTCTACTCACACTCAATGTGGCACTGCAAGTCTTATCTAAAGCATTAAGACAGGAAAAGCAAATAAAAATGATACAAAATAGGGAATGAAATAAGACTAATTCTTATTTCAGACAATATGATCCCATACATGAGATCTTAAAGATTCTGCTAGAAAACTCTTAAAACTGATAAACACCTTTAGTAAAGTAGTAGGATATAAAATTACCACAGAGGTACCTGGACATCTAAGCATATTGCTACTGTCTTCACAATAGCAAGGAAGTGGAACCAGCCTAGATGTCTACCAGCTGGCGAATAGGTTGTGGGAATGTGGTAATAAACACCATAGAATTCCATGCAGTCGAAAAGAAAAGGAAAATGATGAATCGTGTAGGAAAGATTGGCTAGAACTGGAAAATACATGAAATGAAGTAACCCAGGCTTAGGAAGACAAAGACTGAATTTTCTCTCTCGTATGTGGGTCCTAGATTTTAACTTTATAAATCTGCTTTTATGTGGAAGTATTTGTAGGAAACTAGAAAAGGGGCCCTATGAGACAGGTAAAAAGAATGCTTAAGTTGTGTGAGTGGTGGAGATTGTAGAGAACACATGTATAAAATTGGAAGAAGGTGGGGAGACCGGGGAAGTGCAGGGGAGGTGGGAGGGGCATCCAAAATGAATGATGTATGAAAAGATCATAGCTTAGTAATAACAAGCTAATCAGAGTTAAAAAGGACTTGGAATGGATGTACTCTAAGTGCATGGACAAAGCTGCCCCTAGAAGCCATGTGTTAATAAACAAAAGTCATGATGTCGTGGGTGGGCTATTCTATGAGTCATGGTCAGGGAAGCTCCTGAAGCCCCGGAAATGATTAAGGCAAATGCTATTGGTTGCCCACTAAAAGTAGATTGTAAGGATCCTGATGTTGAAGACACAGCATGACACAGCATGACACAAATTGGTCATAGGACATAGAGAAATCAGGCTACAGCTGTGCTGGAAGCTTCCTCCCTGCTTGCTAGCTCTCCCAGTGGTGGAGGCTGCTATGCAGGATGCTGAGGAATTACTATCACCAGTTTTACTCAGCTTGGATCTGTGTGCAAAAGTACTGACTGAGCCCACTGGTGCAGTAGGGGCACTCCTATTATATAGTTACCAACTGCTTTTCTAAGATTGAATTGGATGCCTGCTCCAGCGGAGGGTATTCATGACCGATACTCTGAAACTGGTCAAAAGCCTATGGCCAGGGAAGTAACAGGCCTTAGTGAGGAAGCTACTGCTGTTAAATGTGCCTGTTGAATCACCTTCTAAGCAACGGTGTTTATGACCATAGGTTAGTGCTGACGTCTGCCTTGATCAGTGAAGCTTCCTTTTACACAGCCAGCAGTGACTGTAGAGACTCATAACTGGTCAGTGTACTGAGAATAAATGACTATTGGATTCCCAGCAAGTAGAAAATCTGTGTCACCCCCTCCAGAGTTCAGAGAACATAGCAGAAGAGGGGATGGAGAAGGATACACCATCTGGAGGCAGTTGGATCGAGTAGCAATATGGAACACTGACAACTGGGCACGGCGCGGATGGGCACTCTTGAACTCATGGCACAGATCTGAACAGGACTGAACCTGCCAGTATCCTGGCATGGAAAAGAGAGGGTCTCATGGGAGCTACTTCTGCTGGAGGGTTTCTATTCGCTTAATGGGAGATTGGAGGAAAGAGACATTTTCTTCAGTAGTGTAGCCTCTGGTTTGTGCCCATGCTTCTGCAAAGACCCCTAAGGAAACTCACAAGGGGAGCATCAAAGTGGAAGTGGGGAGCTAATTGGGAACAAGTTTATTGGCAGAGGAGGAATGTGGATGTATATGATTGAAGCACATTACATATATGTATGGAAAGTTATAATGAAACCCATTATTGTGTATGACTAATATACGCTAATAAAACACTTAAAAGGTGATGGCATGGTTGTTATGCCTAGAAGACAGCATTCCATGACACCGAAGAATAAGACCCTCTCCATTGCCTGCTGGGTACTGATATTACTGCATACAGAGCATTGGAGGTGTCCCCAGCAGGGCTTAATGGCTTTGCCTTTCTCTTCTGTCACTGTGTTCCACAAACAGTGGGCTTGGTTAACATACAGCAAATCTGGGTACTTCAGCTCTTCAAAGTGTGTGGTTGGACTTCAAAGCTGCATGTCTGTGCTCACTGAGGTTGCAGACTGTTTTGAAGGTGACGTTAAGGAGTGGCCAAAGTGGACTTTGGGGTGCAGCTCTGGTAGCAGAGTGCTGCTGTAAGCAAAGGGCTTCAATAAAGGCTCAGTGTCAGGAACGGGCAGGTAGCCACACCAGGATCCACAGTGCCTCTTTATTGGGGTGCACTGTGAGCCAGCGGGCAGTGTCTGACAATGCTGGTGGATACCGTACCTAATTTCTGTGAGCTTCCCAAACTGAGAAGGGACTGAAAGGGATCAGGTGGGATGTGGCCTGTGGGCCTTCATTTTCGTGGCCTTGTCAGGCTCCTCAGCTAATGTGACGCTTCTCCCTTGCTTTTTGGTAGATGGACAGTCTCTCCTCGGGGAGCAGGTGGGCTGGCAGGACAGGCGTCCCCAGGCCGGGAGAAGGAGGCGCTCCCAGGTACTCTCGTCCACCCCTGCTGGTGACTTGCCCACCCAGCCCCCTCCTGTTCCAGACAATGGCCACCTGTGACCCTGCCTGCCTTGACCTGCTTTGCCCACCTGTGCCTGCCTGTGCCTGACCTCAGCCCGGACTCCCACCCTTCCCACCCCGACTTAGGACCGGTCCTGACTTCTGGTTCCTGCCTTGCTTTTCCACTTTGACCCAATTCCCAGTAACCCCCTTCTGCCATGTAACATCACAGGGACTTCTCAAGAAGGAGCTGCTAGAGCCTGTTTGGTGCTGCCTGCTTCTCATCTGTTTATTTTTGCTCAAAGGGTAATTTGTAGCGAAGTGCAAACTAATGCTTATTTCTAAATAATATGGCCTGGATTCTGTGGTGACTGTTACTTCTCATCCACACAGAATGTTGGTAGTTCTTTACTTGTTTTGTGATCATTTTCATCGTGTTAGAAACAGTGGAGGTAATGAGGGCTTTCAGGGTTAGCACTGACCTGAGACGTGACTGTAAGTGATGCTGGAGGGATTGAATGGCTGCAGGGTCAGCAGCCCAACAGTAACCAAAGTGGGCTCTACGCCAGGCTCCGAGCAGACTTGGGCCACACCTACAAGTGAGCGGCCTGGGCATCTGTCTGTTCTTAGGGGTGGCCATCCCGGGCGGATTTGACATTTGGGAAAAGCAGTGTTCTATTCAGAAGATAATGGGGTAAAGGAAGGGGGGGGGTCGAGAGGACATGGGTACATACATGTGTGTTAGTGTAAGTGTGCATGTAAGTGTGTATGTACACACATATACATGCTTAGTCACATGTTAGTGTCTCTGAATGTGAGTTCACATGGGTAGGAAGGAGCACATACACACATGGGTGTGGATGTAGGAATGTGTCTACACACACTTGTGTTTGTGCATGCATGTGTAGGCAGACACATATGTGTGGTCTCTGCATGTGTGATAATGTCTGTGTCTGTCTATATGCACACAGTGTGCGTGCTTGTGCTCACGTGTATATGTGTGCATGCACGAGTGTGCGTATGTGTACATACAGATGTGCACATACACTTGTCCCACTTGAGAAGGTGATGTTTCAGGAAAGGCGAGAGCGAGCGAGCTACAAATGAAGAGCAGCCATGCGGAAGAAATGGCTGGCTAGCGTGAAAGTGGAGGAATGCCAGGGGCCGTTGTGACCAGAGGACAGTGAGCATGGGACAGCTTAGCTCAGAGAGGCAAGCGTGGGCCCCTGCAGCATCTTGCAGCCTGAGTGAGAGCTAGTGCTTTCTGTAAGCAGAAGAGAGACCTGAGACCTGGTTTATTACAAAGTCACTATGCCTTCTGGGTAGGATAGAACCCAGGGTGTGATGAGAGAACAGTTAGGAGACTGCCTGCGCACATGTGAGAAGCCGTGGTGGGTAGAACCACGTGACGAGAACGGGTGATTGCCCCCTTTTCCTTTATCTGCTGAGTGTATCTGGTTGTTCTTTTTCCTCAGGTATGAAGTCCACTCTGGATGGCCATCTCTGGGACAGACCCCCCCCCCCCAACCTCCAGTGTCACTGCTCAAGGTGCCCTAAGCTTCCCCAGAGCCTGACACAAACAAAGCCCATGTTTGGCTACTGTTGACTTACTGACTTGGGGTAGCAGCATAAGGCTTACCACCACCTTCCCAGTGTAAGGCAGGTTCTCTAAACAGTGAGAAGCAATGTCTGTGACAAAGGACTTGAAGAACCACCAGGCTCTAGGTGAATAACAGGAAGGCCATCAGCCCTGAGGCAAAGCCGAAGAGAGACTTTCAGGCCGAGAGGCACCTGGCATGCAGAGAAGACAGGAAGTGTAGACTTGTGCTTGGTCTGCAAGTCTGTGTATGGCTGCAGACAGTACGGACCATTGAGGGAGCATAGGTAGACAGAGGAGAGGCTCAGGCCGTGGCCTGGGGGTCCCAGCCTCTGTAGAGTAGGGAGGCAGAGGAGAGTCCCCAGGGGTTGAGCTAGAGGGAAACTAGGGATGGGAGGAGCCTTGAGACAGCCTCACCTGCCAGGGTGAGAGGGTGGACTTGGCACAAGAGTCTGAGGAGTTGCAGGCAGCCGTGAGCTTTCTAGATTTGGGGAACAAGAGTGAAGTGTGGATGGGGTGGTGGTGATGGACTGGAGCTGTGACTCCATGGGTAAGAGTCCTTGCTGCTTTTACAGAACACCAGGGTTCAGTTTCCAGCACCCACATGGTAGCTCACAACCACCTATACCTCTAGTTCCAGGGAATCTGATACCCTCTTCCAGCATCCTTGGGCACTGCAGCCATGTGGTGCACAGAAATACATGCAGGCGAACACTCACAAACACATAAAATAAAAATAAAGAAAATTACTGAGAGCATGGAGACCCTACTCATAAAGCTGGGGAAACAGCATTGGACCAAACCAGGCCCTCTGAATGTGGGTGCCAGCTAGGAGGCCAAGGCAGTCTATGGGACCTCTGACGGTGGATCCACTGGAGGGCCTCACTATCTCTGGGGAGGAGTTGGGGGATGGGTTGGGGGGTTGGGGGGGAGCAGGAGAGGGTGAGGGAATGGGGGGATGGGTATGTAAATATGAGTAGTAATTAAAGAATTTAAATTAAAAAATGTGTGAAGGTAGAGTACATGTAAATGAGGGTTAGCAGGCATGGTAGAAAGCCACGTTTTAGAGAGTTTTACTCTACAGGGAAAGACAGAGGGAGAAGGAAGCTAGGTTTCTCCTGGAAATGGGAGAAGCAGCCACATACAAGCAGGAGGGAGAGGAGGCAGCCCACTGAGGCCAGCACTGCGTCCTGTGGGTACCACGGGGTCCAGCAAGAAAGTCCTTCCCTAGGGGTGCTATTGGCCATCAATCCAAAGTGAGAATGGAGAGGCATGAAGACAAATCCATGTTTGCAAAGTCAAAGACAGTTTGAGCTGTAAAGGATAAGTTTGTGAGTCTGAAGTTGTGAACAGACCAGAAAAGAGAGAGAGTTGCAACCTCGGGGCTGTGGGGCCTGTGTGTGACTCTGCCATGTGCTTGGTAGCTTTTGTTTTCCACTGGTGTTTGTACAGTTGCCTGGTTAGGGTGGTAAACCAGTGATGTTTTAGCAGGGGCTAGCTCCTGATTAGTAACAAGTGAGGAGAGCAAAGTGGGGCAAAGAGAGCTGACTGACCTGAGCAGGGGCAGCAGAGACCGAGAAGAGGGTAGCAAGAGGCAGAATGTCACACCTGGCTTCTGTCCCAATTGGTGGTGGTTGTAACTTAACCACTCTCAAAGTGGAAAACAACCGAGAAATTAACCCCCCCCCCGACACACACACACATACACATATTTTCAAGTTAGAGAACAGTACTTGGTTTCCATGGTTATTGCTACACGGCAAGTGTTAAGTAGTGGCACAGGGTAATTACAGGCAACAGAGAAATTGCAGGATAAGTCTTGAATAAACACAGAGAAGCTACATGGGTTAGCCTCTGCTCCCAGGAGCATGTGCAATTCACTTCCCGGCCTGAGCTGCATATGGGGGCTGGGCCCTTGGACCTGTCACCAGCCCAAAGCCATGCACCTGGCCCTCTGCTTGTCCTTGCTTTATCACATGATTGGACGACCACTTCCCTTCTGTGCCTGGACCTCAAGGCAAGCAGCCCCCAGGCCCACTTGGCCTTTGTGGCACCTTTGTTAAGTAAGACTGGAAGTGGCTGTAGGGTCTTATGTAGTATTCAAGGCTGGGAATGTCGCCAGTACTTTAGGAAGGATGTTTAGAACCTAAAGATGGTACACACCAGTCTCCTGGTGATGCATTATCACAGGGAGATTGCGGAGAACTGTCACCTGCTGTCACCTTAATCCAAAAACCTTCAGAAAAGATGTAATTTAAGCCGCAGCTACAGTAGGGACAGGGGTGCCTGCAGTTAGAGGGCCAGGCCTATAGATTGACTGAAACAAATAATGCTTGTGAACATTGTAGGAAGTGTGGAGAGGCCATAAAGAACAAGAACTCTGATGCACGGAGGGGCAGGAGAGAAAAGGGGGAAATTTCACCACCCTGAAGTTCTCTTCGGCAAGCCTCTGAGGTATATACCCAACTCCCATTGAGAAAGTGGACTGTGGGTTGGGCCATGACTCCGTGGTGATACACAGCCCTGCTGTGTGGGAGTACTTTGCATCCTCCCCTCCCCAAAACATAGCTGTGCTAAGGCCTCAGCCTTCCCTGGACTGCCTTGGGCATCCTTATCCTGGCACCATGGTGGCCACATGGGACACCATCACATTGGAAACTTGTCACAGCTGTCTCAGTTTGGGCCTGTGTCCTTCTGAGAATGCAGGGCTTAAGGGTGTGGTTCCCCCCCCCCCCGCTAGGGGCTTGGGGTACACGCATGGGGCGCTGGATGCTTCCCCTTACCCAGGGTAAATCAAGAGAAGGGAAGTGATTGGAGCATTCTGGATGTGTGGTAATAGTAGCAAGGAGGAGTTTGAAGCTGGACTATGGGAAGATGCCAGCAGGGTCATTTGAATCCCCTAGACCCCTTAATGCTTCAGACAGCCCGGCCAGTAGTAGACCATTGGAGTTAGTCAGTGTTCTCTAGAGTAACAGAGCATACAGAACAAATCTCATTCTCTCTGTCTCTCTCTGTGTGTCTCTCTCTCTCTCGTATCTGTATGTATAGATATAGATATATAAAGGAGATTTATTAGAATAGTTTGCTGGCTGTGGTCCAGCTAGTCTTACAGTAGTTATCTACCAATGAATGGAAGGTCCAAGAGTCCAGTAGTTGTTCAGCCCATGAGGCTGGATGTCTCAGCTGGTCTTTAGTATACACTGGTTTCTGAAGAAGTAGTCTCTAATGCTAGTGAAGGAGTGGACTTGCTAGCAGCACTAGAGCAAGATGGAAAAGCTTCCTTCTTCCATGCCTTTATACAGGCTTCTAGCAGAAGGTGTGGCCAAGATTAGAGGTGTGTTTCCCAGCTCAAAAGATCTGGATTAAAGGCAAATTTTCCTGTCTCAAAGGT